ATATACAATCATAACATTTTCCAAATTAACAATTTATACATTAATGTTAACAATTAAATTCACATTAATTACATCCAAATGATTATTTAATATATTAATTAATATCACATTATTCATGTCCATTAATAATAATATCTCCACAAATAGGAATACAAATAGATTAAGTATTATCTAATATCCATCCATTTAAACATGAAATACAAAATCCATTAATTTATAATTAACAACCTTATTATAAATCATATTAACATTAATTACATTAATCAAATGGTTATAAATTATTATCTATACATTATATATCATTAACAATTAATTAATTTTAACAAATAGATTCACATTTATTATTAATTAATTCATAATTTAATTTACATTATAAACAAATACCAAATTAACAAGATTAACAATTTAATGGACAAATAAATTTACCATTTAAACAAATTTAAAAATGTAAATTATCATCACATTCTTCCCAAATTTAAAATTTAGTATCATCAATAATAGCAATACAAGTATTAAAATCTGAATAAAATATCCATCCAATTAAACATTCAAAACAAATACCATCAATACAATTTGAGCATCCTTCAACACAAGAATATTAACAATTAAAACATCCATCAAAAGCATAAATATTACCATCATCACATTATTCATTTTATTCTAATACTCCATTTCCACAAATAGTTCCACAGGCTTGATTGAAAGAGGAACCAAAAAGACAAGCTAAAAATATTGGCAAAATTTACGAATATATAATTATATATCTCTGACTCCAAAAGCTTCATTTGTTGGATTTTAATCTAAATCAGTTGTGAATTTTAGTGTTATTGTTTGTTTTGAGTGAGATAAAGTTATTTCATCATTGTGAGGTATATCATCATAAGACCATCCACATAGATTCTATATAACTCTACTTTAGTAATCAAAGTTTTATGTCCAAACCATAATATTATCCACATAAACGTAGGCATTTTCAGAATTCCAAGAATCAATAAATATAAATCTAAATTTAATTTTAACCTGATTATGAGCAGGTAAATTAATTTTTTTGAAAATATAACTATTTCCTCCAGTATAATCATATCCCCCAAGCATAGGAATCGCTAATTAATTTAAAAGACTTACATAAACAATTACTAGTATATTTTTATCCTCTATCTATTGTCCAACCATCAGAATTAAAAGTGCTAAAATCAACACTAATTAGACTATCTTCAACAATACTCCAAAATATACAATCTACTCTAGAATCTGTTGAAATGCAAGTTTAGCATCCAGAAGGGCAAGGATATATATATAATTAAAAATTTCTGATTCCCCAAGATTCCTAATATTTTAGTATATGATTTGAATACATTTGAATGATTCTCATTTAAACTTGATGTCATGAGGATAAAAAGAGATTAAAAGTTATGAGCTTTCGTAATGCTTATCTGCTGAATTATTTCACCTTATCCTCCTCCGCAAATTTAAGTACCTCCACTTCCATAGCTTTATTAGAAACCTGAAACCTAATCTAAATAGATGAAAAAAATTTCACTATCCCATGAATCAATTCTATAATTCCTAAAAATCTTACTTCCAAAATTCCAGATTTATTTGAATTGTATGATGAGGTGGTAACTAAATTAACTTTGTAGCTGAAGTGCCTTTACCAAATGCTCCAAATCCCCCAAAGAGTCGTACTGTACCACAGTTACTATATATTAAAGTTTCCCCACTTAACACCCACTCTTCAATTACTATATTTAAATACCCTCTGAAGTTATGAAGGAATTGCTTGTAAAACTTTCATGGTACAAAATCTACTAATAAGAACTCATTGATAGTATTAATAATCTAAAAAGCAGCATGATGTAATCAAAATTGATTTACAAAATAAAAAATATTTAAGAAAATATTTAATTGCTTAATTATTGTTACTAATATCTACTGAATTCCAATTCGTTAGTTTACAACCTTTTTAAAAGGCTTGTCAGCATCAAAATAATCTCAAAACTTATAAATCATTTCTTATTTAACACATTAAGTACCCTTTTAATAAAAAGTAATAATTTTTTTCTATATATTTCAATTTAAAAATTTGAATTATTCATTTTATGAAACCATTTTTTAACAGAAAAATTTTGGAGTTTCTAGTTCTTAAAAATTGATTTCTTTTATTAAATGAAATAATAATCCTTATAGGATAATTAAATGAGAATCTAGCATATTAAATATTTTGAGCAAAGTCAATAAGTTTAATTAATTATAAATTAAAATCATATTTGAATTATTGATAATTATATTTATACTTTTATTATAATTTATCCACAAATAATGCTTATATATAAATATATAAATTGAAAACTAATATTATTATTATTTTTATTATTTTTGATTGATATTTTTAGATTTTTAGTAGATAATGATATTAATTGTAAATTAAGAAAAATACAATTGATAAATAATACGTCAGATGACAGTTTTAAAATTATTCATTTTAATGTATATTCAAATAGATTCTTTATCGTCTTAGATAAAGGAAGTGAAAAGTCTATCTTATTCTTAATCTGAATTCTCAATAAAAAACTCAAATTCTTTTTGATTGTGTTCATCAATACAGGTTTCTGTGCTTATTTTGTAATCAATTTTAGAGTTAATTGAGATGCTTAAAAACCTATGATAAGGATTTTTTTTATCAAGTTCTTATTTTAATTAAGGTATTGCATCTATATATTTCCTTTTAGTTTGTTAATCTTTAATTTTATTATTCATTATGACAGTCATTTCAGCTTATTAATCTAAAAATTCTTTCCATCTTTATTAAGTTTCAATCTATATGCATCTAGTTCTTGAATTAATTGGGCCAAATATTTTTTGTAAATCTCCTAATTCCCATTTTTATTATTTTGAAGTTTTACGATTATGAATTACTTTCAAGTAACACTCTACTTTCTTATAATCCATTTATTTTGCCCAATGCATAAACTAGTTCAAGAAGAAGGGAACAATTCTTCTTTGAAATTTTTATTCATCTAATTGAGTTTATTATGTTTCATTTTTTATTTATTAATGTAAGGAATAATCATTTATTATTATTTCCATTAATTATTCATCTAATTCTACTATTACTCTTCCATTTTTATTTTTCAAAATCTTTGATTATGAAAATTATATACCTAATAAAATTGCAACATGAAATTATTATTAAACAATTTTAATATAAAAATTTAGTTTTTAAATATAATAAATAAAACAATAATCCACAAATTTTATGGAAATTTAATTCATTTAAAGTATTTTTGACTTTGATAAATATAAATATTATAATTCAGTATCATTTCATATATATTTAATCATCTATCATTTCATATTCAAAATTGAATTTTTAAGGCATTACTTATAATCCCATATACTCTTCTTAATCAAAAATTCCAATTTAATGATCAGTAACTAATTCATCATATCTTTACATTAATTCTTTCATTTAATTCTTTTCTTATTAATGCATTTACATAACAATTTCTTCAATTTGATATTTTCCAAGAGTTAAAATTTTAAAAAATACTTTTTTTCCAATTCTTCTTACATCAAATGATTAATCTATGATCATCTAAGATATTAATTAAATAATATTATTAAAATGGACTGACTTAAAAATTTCTCTTTGATATTTGATTACTAAATGTTCAATAAGTACTCCAACATATATTTTACTATTAAATGATTATTTATTATATAAATTAGGTAATATATTCTACAATTAAGAATCATCACAAAATCTCAATATGTCTAACATAGTTTGTTCAGCTTATTGACTAATTTATTTATTATCATCCTAAAGCCAAACTCCACAAACAGTAAACATTTTTTAAACTTAAATTAATGTACTTCTTAATGTTTAAACAGCCACACTCAAAGTCTAAAGAGCAATATAAACTATTTTTCTAACAACTATCTAAGGAGGTATATTCTTTTTGTATTATGAATAATCAATAGCATAAAGTGGATTATCACTTTATGTTGATAATATTCTACACACATCATTAACAATTTATAATAATGGAACTTAAGATGCATATACATCAGATAAGTGATTTTAAAGTAAAACTCTAAATTTATGTAAAGACACTGCTAATAAATCTAAATTTAAAGAAGATAAATTTATCAATAAAGCTGCAGTTTCTGCTCTAGCATTATCAATAAATACAGGCATATCAAATACTTTAGGTAATTCTTCTTATTTTGCAATTTCTTTAAGTTTCTTCTTTAATTTTCTTGCATTTTTTCCTTTATTTTTATTATCTCTTTATTCAAAAGATAATAAAAATTCATCTAATCTTTTTTAATATCTTTATTCTGGTGTATAAATTAATTATTAATTCTTTATAATTTCTTAAACTTATTCTATTTAATTATCTGCAAAATTTTCTTTCATTACTTTTTCATCATTTATTATTGATTCTTCTTATGTAGGTTATGTTTATCTATGCTATTATTTTATTAGTTTTGTATCAATAAATATTTCTTCATCATCTGCTTCTTCTTCATCTTCATATTTATATCCAGAATAGGCTCCTACATTAGCCTTAATTACTTTAGGTATTTGTAGATCTACATTAATGTCCTCATTTANATCGTCTTAGATAAAGGAAGTGAAAAGTCTATCTTATTCTTAATCTGAATTCTCAATAAAAAACTCAAATTCTTTTTGATTGTGTTCATCAATACAGGTTTCTGTGCTTATTTTGTAATCAATTTTAGGGTTAATTGAGATGCTTAAAAACCTATGATAAGGATTTTTTTTATCAAGTTCTTATTTTAATTAAGGTATTGCATCTATATATTTCCTTTTAGTTTGTTAATCTTTAATTTTATTATTCATTATGACAGTCATTTCAGCTTATTAATCTAAAAATTCTTTCCATCTTTATTAAGTTTCAATCTATATGCATCTAGTTCTTGAATTAATTGGGCCAAATATTTTTTGTAAATCTCCTAATTCCCATTTTTATTATTTTGAAGTTTTACGATTATGAATTACTTTCAAGTAACACTCTACTTTCTTATAATCCATTTATTTTGCCCAATGCATAAACTAGTTCAAGAAGAAGGGAACAATTCTTCTTTGAAATTTTTATTCATCTAATTGAGTTTATTATGTTTCATTTTTTATTTATTAATGTAAGGAATAATCATTTATTATTATTTCCATTAATTATTCATCTAATTCTACTATTACTCTTCCATTTTTATTTTTCAAAATCTTTGATTATGAAAATTATATACCTAATAAAATTGCAACATGAAATTATTATTAAACAATTTTAATATAAAAATTTAGTTTTTAAATATAATAAATAAAACAATAATCCACAAATTTTATGGAAATTTAATTCATTTAAAGTATTTTTGACTTTGATAAATATAAATATTATAATTCAGTATCATTTCATATATATTTAATCATCTATCATTTCATATTCAAAATTGAATTTTTAAGGCATTACTTATAATCCCATATACTCTTCTTAATCAAAAATTCCAATTTAATGATCAGTAACTAATTCATCATATCTTTACATTAATTCTTTCATTTAATTCTTTTCTTATTAATGCATTTACATAACAATTTCTTCAATTTGATATTTTCCAAGAGTTAAAATTTTAAAAAATACTTTTTTTCCAATTCTTCTTACATCAAATGATTAATCTATGATCATCTAAGATATTAATTAAATAATATTATTAAAATGGACTGACTTAAAAATTTCTCTTTGATATTTGATTACTAAATGTTCAATAAGTACTCCAACATATATTTTACTATTAAATGATTATTTATTATATAAATTAGGTAATATATTCTACAATTAAGAATCATCACAAAATCTCAATATGTCTAACATAGTTTGTTCAGCTTATTGACTAATTTATTTATTATCATCCTAAAGCCAAACTCCACAAACAGTAAACATTTTTTAAACTTAAATTAATGTACTTCTTAATGTTTAAACAGCCACACTCAAAGTCTAAAGAGCAATATAAACTATTTTTCTAACAACTATCTAAGGAGGTATATTCTTTTTGTATTATGAATAATCAATAGCATAAAGTGGATTATCACTTTATGTTGATAATATTCTACACACATCATTAACAATTTATAATAATGGAACTTAAGATGCATATACATCAGATAAGTGATTTTAAAGTAAAACTCTAAATTTATGTAAAGACACTGCTAATAAATCTAAATTTAAAGAAGATAAATTTATCAATAAAGCTGCAGTTTCTGCTCTAGCATTATCAATAAATACAGGCATATCAAATACTTTAGGTAATTCTTCTTATTTTGCAATTTCTTTAAGTTTCTTCNAATTGGGCCAAATATTTTTTGTAAATCTCCTAATTCCCATTTTTATTATTTTGAAGTTTTACGATTATGAATTACTTTCAAGTAACACTCTACTTTCTTATAATCCATTTATTTTGCCCAATGCATAAACTAGTTCAAGAAGAAGGGAACAATTCTTCTTTGAAATTTTTATTCATCTAATTGAGTTTATTATGTTTCATTTTTTATTTATTAATGTAAGGAATAATCATTTATTATTATTTCCATTAATTATTCATCTAATTCTACTATTACTCTTCCATTTTTATTTTTCAAAATCTTTGATTATGAAAATTATATACCTAATAAAATTGCAACATGAAATTATTATTAAACAATTTTAATATAAAAATTTAGTTTTTAAATATAATAAATAAAACAATAATCCACAAATTTTATGGAAATTTAATTCATTTAAAGTATTTTTGACTTTGATAAATATAAATATTATAATTCAGTATCATTTCATATATATTTAATCATCTATCATTTCATATTCAAAATTGAATTTTTAAGGCATTACTTATAATCCCATATACTCTTCTTAATCAAAAATTCCAATTTAATGATCAGTAACTAATTCATCATATCTTTACATTAATTCTTTCATTTAATTCTTTTCTTATTAATGCATTTACATAACAATTTCTTCAATTTGATATTTTCCAAGAGTTAAAATTTTAAAAAATACTTTTTTTCCAATTCTTCTTACATCAAATGATTAATCTATGATCATCTAAGATATTAATTAAATAATATTATTAAAATGGACTGACTTAAAAATTTCTCTTTGATATTTGATTACTAAATGTTCAATAAGTACTCCAACATATATTTTACTATTAAATGATTATTTATTATATAAATTAGGTAATATATTCTACAATTAAGAATCATCACAAAATCTCAATATGTCTAACATAGTTTGTTCAGCTTATTGACTAATTTATTTATTATCATCCTAAAGCCAAACTCCACAAACAGTAAACATTTTTTAAACTTAAATTAATGTACTTCTTAATGTTTAAACAGCCACACTCAAAGTCTAAAGAGCAATATAAACTATTTTTCTAACAACTATCTAAGGAGGTATATTCTTTTTGTATTATGAATAATCAATAGCATAAAGTGGATTATCACTTTATGTTGATAATATTCTACACACATCATTAACAATTTATAATAATGGAACTTAAGATGCATATACATCAGATAAGTGATTTTAAAGTAAAACTCTAAATTTATGTAAAGACACTGCTAATAAATCTAAATTTAAAGAAGATAAATTTATCAATAAAGCTGCAGTTTCTGCTCTAGCATTATCAATAAATACAGGCATATCAAATACTTTAGGTAATTCTTCTTATTTTGCAATTTCTTTAAGTTTCTTCGAAAGTGAATTTATTTTTTGCCATAACTAAATTAAATATAAACCGGGCTTATAAAATTTGAAACAACTTCAGTTCTCTACTTTATTTTTCAGTTTATTAATCAATTAGTATAACTAAGCTAAAGGAATATTTCTTAGCTTTAGTAATCTAAAATAGGTGTTTTAAATACAAAAGTTCAACTATTTATAGAAATTGATAAAATAGAGACAAATAGTCAAATTTGATTCGATCTTAATCATTTATAGAATCAGTTGAGATTGATCTCGATTATATAGAAATTAGATTCAAAAAATAACTTTATTATGAAAGCGAATGAAAAACATAAAGTACAATGCCTTAAAAACGTATAAAGTAATGTAATTATTGTTAATTATCTCGCTAATTGACATAAAATAAAACAAATTAGATGAGATTGTTGGAAGTTAACAAATAACATAAATAGAAATACAAAAATGTTAAATTAAAATTACAAGAATTCATCAACTAAAGATAGATAAAATAAAATAATCCTCAAGAAATCTTAAAAAAGCTGGATAATAAAAACAAAATAATATAACATATAATACTTTATAATTCAACTATTTCAATATATATTCAAATAAGTTCAAAAATAATTTTTTCCATCAGATTTATTCAAAAAATAATATCAAAGAAAAAATTTGACTTAATAATAATGTTACAATCACTAAAGGCTTGAATTCCATTTATTATTTACCAACCTTCTTCAGAAAAAGTAGATGAGACAAATTCTAAAAATTCAGAATTAAGTAGGCTCCATGAAATGCAATCCCTTTTAGTATCCCCGGATGTACAAGTTAATCAATCAGAAGGACAAAGACTAAGAATTAATTAAAAATCTCTAAATTCCCAAGATTCCTATTTTTATAGTATCTTTTACATTTGAGGGACCCTCATCAAGTGAGGAGGTCATAAGAATCAGAATCGATTAATATACATGAGGGATTTATATAGTTATTAATTAAATTTGTTCTCCCCAACTATTGCCACAAATTGAGGTACTAGTAGCAGATGTATACTATTATGAAAAGCTTAAATCCCATCAATATATATATTAAAATATTCGTTGTCCCATGTATCTATTCTATAAAATAAATGAAAATTTAAGACTTTCAAAATTTCATTTTTATATATACTTCAATGAGGAGGTAATTAAATGAATTTCATACAATTAAATGTAATATAAAAGCAATAACTCTAGTATCGATACCAAATGTATTAAAACCACCAAAAATTTGTGCTCCACCACAATCTGAAAAACTTCCATAAGCATTAGTAGTTATCCAATCTATTTTAAATAGTTTGATGTAAAGTTAAACTTAAAAAACTATATATTTTATTATCTTAAATGTACCTTCCATTGAAGTTAGAAAAATTGAAGAAAATGCCTCATAAAAAAGGGTTAAAGATGAAACAAAATAGGGTAGTAAACAGAAGAATAAAACAAAAAAATTAGATTTTTATTATTTTTTCTAAAATGATTTAAAAATTTAGTAAGGTTTTAGGTGTTGAACTTAATTAATTTTTAATCTTTATAAAATTATAAAATCAAAAAACCAAGATATATCAAAGAAAAGAGTTTCATGTTACAATCTAATAAAATAAATACACTTTATTCAAAATTAAATTGTCAAAATATTCCTAATTTCTTAAATCCATATATTTTATTATTATATCATCATTTATTATTAAATTAATTTAATATTAAGTAGTTTGGAAAAGATTATTAAAATTGAGCAATAATTACATTTATATAAATCACTATATTTGTTATAATGAATGGGAATTTATGTAGATAAAGACTAATTTTCTAAATACTATAATTTTATTTTATTAAATGAAAAATTCTTTGAATCAAAAATATTAAGATAATTCACTGAACGAGAATTTTGAGATTAATTAAATTCTACAACAAAATTTAAACTAATCAAATAACAATTACATGTTATCATTACAAAAAAATATATCAAGCTAGATTATTTTAAAATGTTTTATTTTTGTTATAAATACTATTCATTTTAGATTGGTGCTAATTTAATACTTTAGCTTAAGTAAAATTATTTTAATAGTATCAAATTATGAAGAATATAAATAAATTTAACTAAATTCATTTTTCGATGCATTTGAATGAGAATTAATAATATTTTATAGATTATATTGGAAATTATTAAGGTATTATGATTTTTATCTAATAATTTTCTAATTTTTGTTTTTTATCTTAAATGAAATGAGACCAAAATCATTTTGATAGTTTATCATAATACAAAATTAGCTGAAAATTTTATGAAATTCAAAGCCTTTAAGCCAAGATAATAATCACAAAGAAACATAACAAAAGTCTTTCATATTGTTTTTAAATATAGAATATTCATAGTATAGTAATTGTAATAATACGATAATCATCTAAATTTTGATAGGATCACATACCAAAAAAATGAAAATTGAAAAAAAATTATTATGTCTTGTTTTAAATTCTCTCCAAATATAATTTAAATCAACTTTAACAATTAAATTTAATTAAAAATTATAATTCAATCTCAACTATTAATAATAATAAAAAATTCCCATTTATTTAGAAAAAAGCTTTAAAAAATAGTTATGGACTAAAGTATGGAATTAATCAATAATACTTAATTATTATAAATTTGGATAATGAAGCTTAATTATGATGATTTATGAGACTAATTTAAAATTTTTAATTAGATTACATCATTATGCACTTTTCTTTAATTTTTTTTCCCATGCTTTCATTGCAAATGACTCTATACTATGAAGCATTTACAGATCCTTCATTTGTAACAAGTGAAGGTATTCAGAAATATTTTCATTTTAGATTGGACTATTTCAAATGGCTTCAGTGTATATTCTGATTGTGATGGAATAAGAATTCTTGGAGGATACAATGCATTTGGAAATCAAGCTAAAGTTATGAAACTACTTTAGTTGCCTCCTCATTATACGATATATATAACAATGAAATTTTGGAAGTATTTTACTTTATTGTATGTAGAATAGATTCTTGGGATGGTGAATTTTTATATATATACTTAGATGGAACTTTAAGTTATACAGTTTAAAATGGTTAAACAGGAATATAAATATGTGGTGGAGGATGGCCTGATGAAATATTGAGTTTAACAATAACATAGCCTCATGTATTTTAGTCAGTAATAATCCTAATTACAACAAATCTTGATAGTCATCCAATTGATGTAATTTAATAAAATATGAGAGGAATCTTGGGGTTTTAGAGATTTTAAGCTTTATCTTGATTTGTGCCCTCTTGGATGTTAATCCTGCTCAGAAAAGGATTCATATATGGAATGTAAACCATGGAATATTGTGAATTCAGCATTTCTATCAAATGAATTGTCTTCCTTTTAAATAGATGGATGGTCAATAATAAATGGAATATAGGATATTACAGTTTGCTCTAGTAACATTTTTAGTTCTAGATAGACATTCCTATATTTGGTGGATATGATAAAAGTGGTTAATCTTCAATAATAACTGCAACTTTTAATATGCCTTAGCACTATTTGATTAAAATTAGATTTAGGTTTGTGTATATAGATACTTGGGATATTGAAAATCTTTACTGTAAAATTGATGGCATTTTAATATTTCAATAATCTCATTATTTTGATGGAGGTTCGATTCGCAATTATTGTGGTTAAGGTTATGATGATTACCTTCCAAATTATGAAATAATAATGTTTCACAAAAAATCCAGCCTAACTATAACTTTTTCCACATCACTAGATGAAGCATTTTCAAATGAGTCTTTTGGAATTAGAGACTTCGAAATATTTACATGTAATGTATTATTTTATAAAGTTGATTCTCAAGATTGTGGAAATGGAGTATTAGAATAAAATGAATAATGTGATGATGGTAATATTTATGCATTTGATGGATGTTTTAATTGTTAATATTCTTGTGTTGAAGGATGTTCAAATTGTATTGATGGTATTTGTTTTGAATGTTTAATTGGATGGATATTTTATTCTGATTTTAATACTTGTATTGCTATTATTGATGATACTAAATTTTAAATTTGGGAAGAATGTGATGATAATTTACATTTTTAAATTTGTTTAAATGGTAAATTTATTTGTCCATTAAATTGTTAATCTTGTTAATTTGGTATTTGTTTATAATGTAAATTAAATTATGAATTAATTAATAATAAATGTGAATCTATTTGTTAAAATTAATTAATTGTTAATGATATATAATGTATAGATAATAATTTATAACCATTTGATTAATGTAATTAATGTTAATATGATTTATAATAAGGTTGTTAATTATAAATTAATGGATTTTGTATTTCATGTTTAAATGGATGGATATTAGATAATACTTAATCTATTTGTATTCCTATTTGTGGAGATATTATTATTAATGGACATGAATAATGTGATATTAATTAATATATTAAATAATCATTTGGATGTAATTAATGTGAATTTAATTGTTAACATTAATGTATAAATTGTTAATTTGGAAAATGTTATGATTGTATATTTGGATGGAAAGTAAAAAATTATTAATGTGAATCTATTTGTGGTGATAATTACATTTAAGGTTTAGAAGAATGTGATGATATGAATTCAATTAGATTTGATGGATGTAATAATTGTAGAAATGATTGTTAAAAAGAATGTTCATATTGTTAAAGTGGAATATGTTTAGATTGTATTTATGGTTGGTATTTAACTGATTAATTTATTTGTTAATCTGAATGTGGAGATAATTTAATTGCTTTGATATCAAATGAAGAATGTGAAGATTCTAATTTTGATTAATTTGATGGATGTTATTAATGTAAACTTGAATGTTGTCATTATTGTAATTTATGTGTTTATGGATATTGTTATAATTGTGAATATACATATACATTAATTGATTAATATTGTATTCCTAT